ACAGAGCTGAAAGGGACAGCTAAAAATCCTCCCTCTTACAATAGTTCTCATCCTTCATGGATATTGGACTTTGTAGATAACATACTCAACTTACTGATATGACTTGAATTATAAGGGAGGCACCTTTTCCACACTTCAGGGAATATTATAATAGGGGGGGTGTGGATCAGAGCAGATTTCTCAGAAACATGGAGTTGCAACGTCCTCGGAGTATCACTCTTGCATCTTGCCATTTGAAACTGCTGCTTCTCAAGAAACACAAACTAACAACACAGGAAGCCCACAGCTAGAATGCGGGGCTTAATGAATAACAAGGTACTGTACTTTTCACACTTTCACACACACAAATAATGAAAACCCGAACTTGACAGCAAGAAACATAGAACGTGGTATGGTCACTTAGGTGTTTCTTGCAAAAAGTACAACAGTGAGCTGTGCCGTGGTTGCGTTGCATTGTAATGTTTATATAAAATACCGTAAGTCTGTTGTATAAGCTATGACTCTCAAACATAACAAATGGGAAGATAATTTTGTTTCATTCTGAAACATTTACTATGACAAACATACATATTTAAACAGCAAGCTACAGTCAGGGTCAGTGTGGAGTTTTAAATTCCTCTGGCCTTGATCTGGTTAGGGTGTAGATATCATCAGCATGCGACAAGATCCTAAGACTGTGTCTATTTTCACGGTTTGTCCTCGAGAACATCCTGACTCTAGCTGTCCTCGATCTCACCTGAGTTAACTCACAAAACAACAAACACATTAAACTCAACTCAGAGGAGACAGACGGAGCGCCTGATGTATCTGGTGTAGAAAGAAAGGAGAAGTGAAACATTTTGATCACAAAAAATAGGAAAGAGACGTATGACAGTCTAATTTCTGCTCGGTGACCTACATTGAACAAAATGGATTTTGGGGGCATGTGTCCTCTGCAGTTCAGAGAGAGTGAGATGGGTAGTACAAGATGTTCTTGTTGCATGTGTCTAATTATATGTGATGCACATCTAACACCATTAGCTTGGTAAATTCTTGCCTAAATGCCTATTTGTGTGCGGTTTACTTCGCAGGTCTCGGTGTTTAGGTTTAGCTCGGCTTTTCCCAGGCCTGTGGTCGATCCATGCTAAGTCAGTGGTGGCCTTTCATGGCTCTAACAAGCTTTACTGGATCCGAGGCTGTTACACACACCAACCTGTGGCCCCGGTTTGGGACATAGGTAGAGTAGGTTTTCTCTGAAGTGTGTGTGTGTGTGTGTGTGTGTGCAAAAGGAGCTGAAGGGCAGGGGACAAGTCCATACAAACCCTTTGTTTGTCATTTTAACTGATAAAGTCTAATCACAGGGGGGTGCACACCACCCTGCTCCCCAAATTACCAACACACACACACAAAACGTCCCTAATTAGGCTGCACAGACTCCAGTGGTGCAGTGCGTGTCACTTCTTGCTTCAGTGGCTCAGTACATCGACATGTTTGGCTATGTTAATTGAGGGAAATTAGCCTGATCCTTCAGCTCATGATCTTTAATTTGTTGCATGATTAGTCACACTAAAAGTCAGACATTTGAAGATGACACTGATCGTACAGGCAATGCTGATTTGTTTAGTAACCATGTTTAGAAAGCCAGGGATGAAGCATTGCTTTGCTATGTGTGTGGTAACATTAGATCATATCTTGCAATGGCCAGTCATGGCGAATCCGTGATCTGTCTTTAGAGTCGGGAAGGCGCACAGCTGATCATTACTGCCTGAACTGGTTTCTTCGCTTTACCTAACAGAAGAAATGTGCTGATAGTAATTTGGGTTTGGTTTTTTTTGGATCAGCACGTTGGTTTGGTGCCAGTGTGTACAGGTCACTAGGGCTTCTTATCACAATGTCTAAAATCTATCTGTGCTGCACTGCAGGGTCCTCCAGTACAAAGTATACTGCTTACTTGTCCTTTGCTCTCTTTATCTTTAGTAACTGGGCAGACATTTGATTATGCAGTTATTGTGTCACCTGGAAGAAAAAGGGGAAAACCAAATCAAGCGTGTGTGCTTCATTCATGCTCGCCCTTATAAGGTTATCAATACTGCTTTGTAACAGACCAGGTGCTCCTCTGAAACCTGTTCATTCGCTCTGTGCTTGCTCAGCAGGCTATTCCACTTCTCCAGCTCACTCGATCACCTTGGCTTGCTGTCAGGAAGCTTTAATAGTGATTAGACTTACTGTACGTACACAATGTGCCAGTTAAACGGACTCATAGATGTGTGTCTTTTTCTGATTAATGTTGCCACATAGTCATCAATACAATACACATCACCTTGATTTTAAATTCATTTGGTGAACAAGTTTAAATTGTTTTCTTGCTGGTAATTCTGACGAGTACTCAGAGGAATGTGCCCTGGGATGTGTGCGTGTGCGCGTGCTGTTGTAAAGAGATGTCTAACTAGTTTTTCTTCCCATTAAGTACTCCTCTATGACAGACAGTCCCACCTCTTAGTTTTTCCTGCACAGCCTCTTAAATTTCTGATCTCAAATATTTTTTACCCATTTCTGTCATTTGCAGCTGTCCACATGGAAAAGTCAAATTCCTTCTAGAAAAAGGTTTTTAGTCAGATGAGACAAAGATTGAGCTATTTAGTCACAGTGACAAGAGGCATGTTTGGAGGAGTAAAGATGAGGTTTTCAGACCTAAGAACACTTCCAAGCTCCTTAGACTATGATGACCTGGTTGACTGAGAACCTTCACAGACACATGGTGGTGGTGGTAGCATCAAGCTCTGAGGCTATTTTGCTGTCAGTGGTACCGGTACACATTACATCTTGAATGGTCTCCCAAAAGCCCCGACTTTGGGGCCAGGAAACCAACAAATTTAAATGAATCATTTCTGCTAAGAGTGGTCAAATATCCAGCTAAAAGGTTATTAATGACTACAAAAGGTGTCTGGTTGAGATGTACTTCCAAAGGATTTATAAACAAATATTAATGGGCATGTACATTTACTTTTGATCCTGTGTGTATATGTTTGACCTTGTGTAGATTAGGAAAAAAAAACAGAAAGAATTATAAATAATTCTTGTTTTCTAAATCGATTAAAGATGTATGCTGTACAATCATTCCACCCTGGAAAAAGAACAGTTTAAAGAAATAATTAAAAGCCCAAAATTACTTTGACACTCATGCCCACAATGAGTGTATGTAAACGTTTTATCACAACTTTAGTGTGACCAACACTAAATTGTACTTACACACAGAGTAAATTATAACAGTTTCTTCCTGAGTAGGAAAAAAAATGTAAAATCTGCACAGCGAACACTAACAAGAGTTTTAAAATGAATATAGTGGAAGCAAAACAACTGAGGTATCATGAAGCTGAAATTCTCGAAAACTCGTTTTAACAGTACTTGAGTAAAAAAATAGGTTAGAAAGTTACTACTTAATCGGCAACAACAAAGAACTGAACCAGATCAGTTGTTTCAAATAATCACAGACAAAGCTTTTGTGGCTTGATCTATTGTGAGGCTCCCAACTGTGTTTATTTTTTGCAAATTCAGTCACGCGGTATAAGAAAAGGTCCCAGGTAATGCACTGCGCTCTCTTTGAAAGCTGCCAGCGGGATGATGTCATCTTCCTCAGAAAAGGGAGTGGAGAAGGGGGCGGAGCTTCAGGCGCTGTCAAGTACACTTGAGTTTCAGGTGTGCTTCAACTTTCACAACAAGTCGCCGGTAGAGCTGGAGCAGCTGGAGCAGCTGGAGCTTACAGAGCGAAACTTCACTGAGTCGTTGTGGGGTTTTTATACAATTAAACTTTAACGAAATTTGAGCAGAACAGATGAAAAAGCACAGCTCGCTTTCACTGTGTGGACAATGCACTGGGAAAAAATCCTTCGTTTGACCAACGGAAAGGTGAGCGCCGCTTTTTTGCGCATGTTTTATTCGCTTTACTTTTTTTTTTATTATTAAAGATAGATTTTTTTTTTCGGTGCTCCTTTTGGATTCTTGTTCAATGTTTACAAGGAAAGTGATTAATCGGGAGCTTTAGTTTCTCCCGGATGCGTTGTACTTTGCGTTGTTGACAATTGCATCTGTCATCCATTAGTCATGCCGCTCAGAATACAGGTGAGCCTCCGGTGTTTTGGTTTCTACCGGTTATGGTGTGGCAGTATGGGGGATTTGAGTAGTAAATACTCGGATGAATAACCAGTGCGTGTAACTCCCTTATGTGTGTGTGTGTAAGTTTGCTGTGCTTCCTGAGCCCCCATGGTGTGATGTGAGGTCCAGATGATTATTTTGTGTGAATACTAAGTGATGAGAAGAATATTTTCATCAGTCTCTCCCAAAGGTTTGGCAATGTTCTTCCCCTGAGGTGTTTGAGGAAATGAATCACACCAGCGACCTGTGATTGAAGGTGTTAGATTCATCATTGTCTCAGATAGGGTGGTCTAGTTTTAGAAAAATTGAGGAAACACAATTTAGATGGTGTTTGGATTTTGCGCGGATGTTTCGTGGTCTGTTGATAAAATCGGGTCATTTTGAAAAACAAAGAAGAAAAATCTGTGAAATTGCTTTAAACCCAAATCTAATATCCTGCTAGTCCTGTTTTGTTTTGGGGGGTTTTTGGCTTCCAGAACAACGAAATCAGAGTCCAGGTTTTTCGAGTTGAGTTTTGTGTGGATGTGCTGAAAATGACAAAAGTTATTTTTCCTTAACTTTCATTTCTTTGCAAGTCCATGAATAAAAAAACCGCTTACTTGGCATCTTCCTCTTTAGTTAAACTGACCGCAAGTGACCTGTTCAACCCACTCAATTAGCCTCGTTCCAGTCTGCATGCTACAAAAATGCAGAAGTTTCCTTTTTTTTTTACATGTCAGCAAAATGACCAAAAACTCATATATTGCAATTCATCCTTTTTCCTCCCTGCCTCACTCCCTTTTTTTTGTTTTCCTCGCAAATCCTTTGATTTCTTCCCTCACCCTTCACGTACTTGAATCTGTCTTTTTTTCCCTCTTTCATCGCTTCAGATCGACCGGCTGGAAGTAAGTGGCCTGGGCCAGGCACCCCTGTCTGTTTCATGTGGGGCAGACAGTTCGTTCCAGGGCGGTGAGGATATCACCCCAGACCCTCACCGCACCAAGCAGGCCATCGCCCAGCTGCAACAGAAAATCCTCAAGCTCACAGAGCAGATTAAGATCGAGCAGACAGCCAGGGATGACAATGTTGCAGAGTACCTCAAACTGGCCAACAACGCCGACAAACAGCAGAGCACACGCATCAAACAGGTGAAACGAGGAATTATTGTTAGATTTTTTGTATTAAAGCCAGCACCTCATTGCCTTGTGCTTTTAGTAGGCTGGTGAGATTAGATCACAATTAGTGCATAAACACCAAACCTGTTTGATCAGTTTGTTTTACCTTGGCTTTTCCTCAGAGGCAGGGAGGGAACTTTCTAAATATATTTAAGTGGATAATTGCGGACTGATTTGCATTTCACTGACTAATAAATTCCTGTCCTGTGGCTGTCAGGTTTTTGAGAAAAAGAACCAGAAGTCAGCACAGACCATCCAGCAGCTGCAAAGGAAACTGGAGCACTACCACCGGAGGCTGCGAGAAGCGGAACACAACGGTATCCCACGCCAGCCCAAGGATGTTCTGCGGGACATGCAGCAGGGCCTGAAGGATGTCGGAGCCAAAGTCACAGGCTTCAGTGAGGGCGTGGTGGATAGTGTTAAGGGTGGCCTCTCCAGCTTCTCACAGGCTACCCACTCTGCTGCTGGTGCAGTCGTCTCCAAACCACGAGAGATCGCCTCCCTTATTCGCAACAAATTCGGGAGTGCTGATAACATCACTTCACTTAAAGACTCTCTGGATGACCCTTCAGTAGAAGAGGGTGTGACAAGTACTGGAGGACGTTCCCTGGGAAGCACTGGGCATCACTTTCAGTCCAGTCCGAAGTATGGTAGCGAGGATGACTGCTCTAGTGCTACATCAGGCTCAGTGGGGGCTAATAGCACAACAGGGGCCCCTGGGGGTCCCCCCAGTTCCAAGGGAAACACACTGGAGAGGAGCCAGAGTTCCAGCTTTGACATGCTGCTGCAGGAGGTGCAGGAGTTGAGAGATGGCCAGGCAAGGCTAGAGGAGAGCCTGGAAGGTTTGAAGAGCCACTATCAAAGAGACTACACAGTTGTTATGCAAGCACTGCAGGAAGAACGCTTCAGGTAAAGAGAAAAAGAACTAGAACTTGCCAGAATGTTTGTACCATACATGCCTGAGTGTGTAACGAGAAATCCCCGCGAATGTCAACAGTGCGTAATCAGGAATAACCTGCTATAGTTAGAAACACTTCTCTGGAACCATCTTAGTTATGCATATTGCTATTCATCATCGCAAGGTACACTTGGCCTGCTTGTGCATTAGAGAGATTTTACTAATATTAGCAGCATTAGCTCACAGTAGATAAGAAACCTTTTACCTACAGTTCATCAACATTAACATCAGAACAGCTCAAATTATTTTATACTCATTCTCAAAGCAGCAGTTGGCATGTAAGCTTAGAACAGCACAAAAGTGCATGAGCATTAAAACACAGGGCACAAGGACTGAGAACAGATCTAATGATCAGCTTGAATAGAAAAAGAAACATGTGCATTTTTCTTCCTAAAATGTCCAAGTTCAGAGTGATCTGTTTGACCTCTTAGATTAAAATTGCCAACAGAGACAAATGGCATCTAAGGAGCTATTTTCACCCTTCCCAGGGGAGGGAGTACTCCATCCAGAAACCAGTAATGCTGCTAAAAACTCCTCAGGAGCTGAATCCACCCATAACATATCTGCAGTTATTTCATAGCGGACATTTGTTAAGGAATCATTTCTAAACATTAAAAAAAAGACAGGTAAAACTTATAAATCATGTGTCATCGCCCTACTTAGAGACTTTTTGCTGGATTTTATACCAACCTGTTAAAAGATCTTAAAAATAAGAAACAGTCAAGTTGACTCATGTCTATTCTTGTCCTTTGCTGTCCATCCAGCTTTATGTGCCTGCCAAAATAAACAACAGTATAGATTCATCGCCTCTTGTTGGGCACACATTCCATTGGCCAGTCTAATACTGCCGAGTCTCTTGTGATAGGCTAGTTGAATCAGCAGATGAGCAAGCATATCCTAATCTTGTCAGGGCGGGTCATCAGCTCAGTCAGGTGCCATGTGGCCAGATGCCCTCAGGGTCTATTCCTACTAATTCCTGCGTGCGTTTCTTTGTCTAAGCTAATTATGCCACAGACTCTCACATGTGTTCGTGTGTGCTTCTTTTACTTACGCATGCGTTCAGGTGTGAACGTCTGGAGGAGCAGCTCAACGATCTCACAGAACTTCACCAGAATGAGATCCTCAACCTTAAACAGGAGCTGGCCAGCATGGAGGAGAAGATTGCCTACCAGTCCTATGAAAGAGCCAGAGACATCCAGGTTTGTAGTTCAAGATAATGTCAGCAAGCACCAGCACCCATTTTTATCATGATAAGCAGTTTCATTTTCATTAACAGATATGCATGAGGAATGGTAGTGATTACACCAAAGTAATGATAGATAACAAAGCACTGCAAAACAACTGATAAATGCACACCAGTGACAACATCTCTCACTGTCACACAGATTTGTCTAAAGAGGCTTTTTAATTTGTCTATTAGAGAACCAAACTCTATCTGCAAAAAACAATAAAACAAGGAGGAAAAATGTGAAACAAATGTAAAAGCAATGTAAATATAAAAAAAACAGACCTACATAAATTAAGGTGGGAGAAGGTGGATTGTAAACATGAAAAATGTCACTGTGTTGACAGTCGCTATTACAGTTATTAAAGGGCAGATGTCATTGTCACTGGAAGTTAAAAATGTTATCTTATCTGGTGACATCATTATGAGTTCATAGAGAAATGTGAGACAGGTTGTAGTGTATAGGTGTTTGTTTTTTTTCATAGCAGTGCTTTTGTTTCGCAACCATTTTTGTTACTAATGCCTCCATCATCGGCAAGTGACATGCCAGATTAATTTTATCAGAGGCCCTCGTGTGATTTTTAAAAATCAGCCGCCACGCCTGTTTTTTGTGCAATACATTCGGCCCAGACAGGCAAAGTCTGAGTTTTATTGGAACAGCTGCAATCGGCAGCTACAGACCTGATTTCACTAAATCAGGCTGCCAATAATAAATGTTGAACAAAAAAATGTTCTGGCACACCTTTCTGATAGATTTAAACCTGCTTGTTCTATGACTGGGTCACCACACTGTGTACTGACACCAGCCCAAGTAAATTTGAATCTAAAATGCTGTCCAAAATGTAATTAGCTGAATTCCCCTAAATGGCAATTCACACTGAAATTATATTATTACAGGACCTCTGTGTGTGACACAATACAGTAGATCATTTTTGGTGGATTTTTTTTTTTTCGCTTTGAAATGACGAACATGACAAAATCATACCAGACTGAGATCACAGAAGGCCGCTGCAATTATTACATATTAATAGGGGTCCACTGTTATGTTAGTCCTGTGTGAATTGGGCTTTAAGAGTGTCAGCAGCTGCAGCAGAGTAATTACATTTTAGAATGCATTGAGCCTTATTATTACTGTTGCAGCACTGCATTTTATTCTGACCACTTATGGCTTGCACGCTTGACCACCCAAAGCTAAAATGGGCCTGTGTTGAAATAATGGAAGTGGCTGGCCACTCAACCTTCCTTTCTTAAGCACTAGTAAGCTAAAGAAAGCTGGTCAGACGAGACCTTATTGTGTCAGTTTTAAGTTAAACTGAAGTTTTGAGTCGTGCACAAACCCTCCATCAGTTAACTGCCTTATCTAAATGTCTGTGTTGACTCTGTACACAAGGAGATGAGTTCAAGGCCCTGGTCTGTCCATCAGCTTTGTTTTTGTTTTGTTTTGTTTTGGGGGGGGGGGGGTTTTCAAAACATTAACTATCCCTTGAAAATGTCTCACATTACTTGCATCCTTTCCTCTTGTCCATAAAGGCTAAGGTGTGTGTGTTTTGTCCCTGCATAAAACTTTTTTCACGCCTCATATTGCTCATTACAGCATTCCCTTCCTACACAGCAGGGGGTGGTAGAGAGCCATGAAATGTACTGTCAACAGCTACTTCAAACTCTAACAGAACCAGCAGTTACTTTATTTGTAAAACACCTTTCATTGAAACAGGAGCCTGAGGTGCTTCACAGATGACTGAAATTTCAGTAACAGGATGTAATAAATGCTGTAATAAAAGCAATAAAACTAGATTAAAATCTAGATCAAATAAGTAAAAAAAACAACAAAATATCATTAAGTAAAATTGCATAAGCAATATAAGTACAATAAAGCTAAGCTAATAAAATAGGATTACTGAAAAAGCAGATATAGTTAAATGAAGGAAATGTCTGAAAATCTCTGATGGGTAACATGTATCGATAATGTGCAGGATATTTAAGTGTTTTTGGATAACTTATCAATTACAGTTACAAACGAACATGATTAAGAACACTTCACACTGGTCTAATGTGGATCACATGAGTCTATTTAAAATAATCAAAAGTATAAAAGGCTGCACTCAGGCAAGTGAGAAGTTTTTGTTTTTGTTCAGTGTTTTTCCACACATGAGAACAAAGGAAAGGCAAAATCATATCTGACTTTAAATCACAGTAAAACGATCAGTGTCTTGCTATTGTGCTTTGGATTAGTTTATGTTTATGAAACTGGTGACTAAGCTAAATGTATTTCCTCTCGTCGTCCTCTACAGGAGGCTTTGGAGGCCTGTCAAACCAGGATCTCTAAGATGGAGCTGCAGCAGCAGCAACAGCAGGTCGTCCAGTTGGAGGGGTTGGAAAATGCCACAGCCCGGACCCTCCTGGGAAAACTTATCAATGTGCTGCTGGCCCTAATGGCTGTCCTTCTGGTCTTTGTTTCAACTGTAGCCAACTGTGTGGTCCCTTTGATGAAGACGCGCTCACGCTCGCTCTCCACCCTCCTCCTCATCCTCCTGCTGGCCTTCTTGTGGAGAAACTGGGACGCTCTCTCGGGGTATACGCACCGTGCGCTGCAGCCCCCGGGATGACCAGATTACATTCAGCACATGTTGCTTTGGTGACAACAAGAAATGTAACTGTAGCTGCAGTCTGCAGTCGGTTCAGCTGAGCACATTTGGAAGCGGCCTGGATAAAGAGCAAGAAGTGTGAAGAAGAGTGAAGAAGAGAACATTCACATTTAGGAAGGACAAGACTGTTTACATTTTTAAAATGAACTTTTGTGTTGTTATCCCTCACAGAATGCAGTATTGTACTGTTTTTACCCTTAGAGTTTAATCAATTATAATGTTATTTCTAATAATATTATTTTATTTTCAATGTTATTTTATTCAGTACCATGTAGCATTACACTCCTCTCACTCTACACAAAGGGGAGTTTAGTCAGGAAACTGGGCTGGAGAGCTGCCACAAAGGCCCAGTCTAATTGTAGAGACATGCAAATGTGAGAATGTGGTTGATTGCCTTTAGGAAGAGAACTCTTACTTAGCTGTGATTAGTAGTTTTGAACCATGGCTGAAAAACCTTCCTGGAAGTTTCGCCTTTCCTGCTGTGATGAAATTTGTTCAGATAGAACATTTTGAAGGAATGAGTGTCATGCTGATGTACAATTTCTAATGGCAAAGATCGCTTTTACTTTTTTAAAGTTAAAAAAGAATTGAAAATAGGGAAGATAATGAATGGCACAAAGACTCTAGAGGGGGAAGCTGAGATGGTGTGCCCACCATAAAAACAGCACATGAATACTACAGAGAACATCTGGCTGCTGTCTAGCATCTGCCATATTTGTAACTTGTATACAGTGCTGCACGTTGTCATGAAGAAAATTACTTCCAAAGCAGATTTACTTTTAAAAGCGATGATAAAGGGCTGTTGTCCAAGTAAAATTAGGTTGCCAGGACAATTGGCCTCCCACCCCACCATTATGATGTGATCAAGTTAAGAATGAAGGGGAGACCACTGGTGCTTTTCCAGTTCTGTCTCAGAACCATCATGAATACTGCTGCTTCAAATCTACAGTGCAAGTCATCTCCACTGCCATGCCAGTCAAATGCACATTGCCTGTATGTGACTTTATACTACTGACACAGTTTCCCTGCGTGTTATCTTTTCTTTCTTTCTTTTTTTTTTTTTAAATGTACCACCGTATCTCTATGTCAAGGTGTTATCACCCAGTGCCAAACTGAAGTTTGCCCAGGGATGCCTAAGCACCCAAAAGGTCCAAGCAGCTGTGGCTTCTTTCCATATATGTCATGAATGTCTTGCCAGATGCAACTTTTGTAAGGGGGAAAGTAATTCGCAATCTGAACATGACCTTGCCTCCAGATGCTCAGTAGTGTGTTTCTACACATTTTGCTTCCATGAGTAGAGCTTGGCATTCGGCCTCTCTTTTACTCTCACTTTCTAATCTAGTCAAGGACACTACAAGATGACCTAGCACGTTAACTAGTCTGCACTGTATTTAATGCCAAGAAGCTGATTTCCTAACAGACATTGTGATCATTTGAACTGTACAGCTGCACTTTAGCACACTGATAGACAGCATGTAGGTCAGGCCTTTGATAGAGACTACAAAGCTTGACACTCTCTGAGAAGTGAAGCGCTGATGCAGGTTGAAACTGCTGACATGCTTTTCTACAGGAAATTTAAAAAAAAAAACCAAGGAAATTCAGTGCATTTTTGTCAAACTGTGAGTAAACTTGTTTCCTCTCAAGTTGAACCGCAGTAGGCAGATTTATTGATCTGTCAGTGATGTGTAATCAAAGGTACAATAGACAAGTTGGGAGTGAGCTGACCTTTGACTTTAGTTTGTCCTTGCAGCAGCACCTCTGATCTTGGGTTGTGTGCTAAACCACTTCAGTGCCTTCTGATGTCCTTTTCTAAGTGTGGAATAAATAAAGTGCATTCCTGACTAATTTATGCACATTCCGTATTTCTTCAAAAGACATGTTTCCTTTTTGTTTATTTATTTTCTTGTGTGTCTGATGCTTCTTCGCAGTGTTGTAGTGGAAAGTGTGCTTTTAAAGTCATCTTGCAGATGCTTTTCCTGACCGCTAGATGGAGCTCGTTTACCTGGAAAAGCCTTGACATTCCTTCAGTATGAAAGCCGTGCTCAGTTTGTGTGAATGGTGTGCTCTGAGGGTGGGGAGAAGAGGTGTGACTCCTTATCAGGAAGGAAACAGGTTCTGAGGAGGGGGTCTTAAATGCCAAAAGTTAGCTTGTGCAGCAACAGATATTGTTTTTGTTACAAACGAGAGATCGGGTGTACCCCCACTTTATATCACTGTAATGCACCCACACATGGAGCCTAATTCGGTTCAGTGTCGTTTTCTTGATTGAGCTGCACCAAACCGCAGCGGTCACGCCTCACTATGGATATTTGATGCTGACAGTTCTGCCCCAGACTGCGCCTTGTCCCTGCATCCCTGCCAGACCTCATTGTAGCCGCTGGCTCCCTACTCCCTGACGAAAGTCTGCACTTACATGCACGCGCACTGTGTCGACACTATTTGGCTCATTCATTGTGCTCTGCACTTGGGGGGTCATTATATTGCACTTTATCGGAGCACTTTGCTCCTTTTCTACACTGCCAGATTTGATGCGCATGGCTGTGCGCCAAGGTAAACACGGAGCGCACTTATCTACCCAACTGAAAGCTGCAAGTAGAGATTGGGGGTTGGGGTGGGAGGGTGTGGAGAGAGAGTGGGTTTGTCCCCCAGAGGAGTACGCAGTAAATAGGCACAAGCGATTGCTCGCGATTTAGCATCAACTTTAATTATTTCATGTATTCAGAGATAACACTTTTCTCGGGCTCCCCTGCAAACTGATTTATGCAGCGTCTGACTCACTTGTTGTCTTTCCTCGACTAGGAGTCATTCATTTCTATTCAGAGATGTGAGCATATGCGCACTCCGTCGAGAAAGCAAAAAAAAAAGGGGGGGGATGCTAACCATATTCGTGCATTTTTGAGTGGGGGCACATGTGTTGCGCTTGAATATTTATGAGGTAAAACGTGCAAAAGCAGTGTTGGATAGATGTGAATGTCAAAAACCGGAAAGGTGTGCTGATGTGCCCATCTGGTAGCACTTTCACGGTCTTTACCGTGCCGTATGTGCCCAAAACGAAACCCTCCGGATCTGCAGAACTAATCTGAGAGCCGAGGGACCGGGAAGCACAGGAGGTGGGCTTGTGACCCGCCATTAACCCCAAGATGAGCGGAACCACGCACGGGTGGAGACTCATCAAGTGGCTCACCTTGAAAGGAAGATGATCATTATGACTTCATATGGCACGACTTCACATTATGTCTTAAATAATAGTTATTGTACCTGAGTGATTGAAAGGAATCAGGATCTAATCAACGAACGAAGATCAATCACAGCTGACTGGGCTGACAGAGCGCTTTGATGGGACGTTCCATTAAGAGGGAGGCAGTGCCATTTTTCAGGGTTAATGAGTTAACGCCCCATGCTCGCAGCAAAGTCCATCTTTACTAATATTTGTAATCGAAGAATGCTTTGCTTATAAATAAATATACGTATATATTTTTAAATAACCAGCGCTGAAACCTGACTCAAAATAAGTTTGTCCTTTGTGCGGCGATGTCCAGAAAATGCACAACACCAAATCAGTTGGAACTATTTATTCCCTGTTGTCTATTCTGTCAAGATGATTAAAATATCACCCAGGCGGTGTGGCTCAGTGTGCCCCAGGAGAGTGACTGCTGAGCTGCACGATAGGCAGAGAGGGACAGAGGAGGCAGCCTGAAAAGGAAGCACGACTCGCTTATCGCGTCACTGTGGGTTTAGGCGTTGAGCAGGAAACAGTCTTTCCTCTCGGGTTGTCGCAGTAGGAACAAACACACATTTTTGTCTTTGCTCAATGCACCCCTCGGCACAGAACACGCGGAAGCCGGTCAGAAGGAAAAATGCCTCCTTCGATAGAGATAGCCGTCCTGCTTCTCGGCGTCCTGGCTTTGGAGACGCGCCGGAGTGCCAGCGCGCTGCACATCCAACAGGCTTTCGCGTCTCCAAATCAGACCAATAACTTCGTGGTGGATCCAGTGTCCAGAAAAGTCTACCTGGCTACCGTTAACACAATTTACCAGCTGAATGGGACCTTGACAGCTGAAGTGGAGAAGAGGACTGGACCGGTGGAGGACAACCTGTTGTGCCATGCGCCACAGCTTCCCCAGGCTCCCTGCGAGCATCCCAAATCCCTCACTGACAATTACAACAAGCTCCTGAAACTGGACCGGGAGCAAGGGATCGTGGTTGCGTGCGGATCTGTGTATCAAGGCTTCTGTGAGCTCAGAAAAATGGATAATATTTCAGAAATAGCGGTGGAATTCCCACCCCAGGGTGAGAAGACTGTTTTTCCCAGCATGCTGAACATCGCTGCCAATCACCCGAACGCATCCACCGTGGGGCTCATCTTCAAAAGCCACGGGGGAAACACCCGGCTTCTGGTTGGGGCGACATACACAGGGGCTGGAACTCAGTTTTTCCCCAAAAACCACAGCAAAGAAGATCTGCGTTTTGAAAACACCCCGGAGATCGCCATCCGCTCCTTGAACATCAAGGATTTATCCAGACTTTTCACCTATGACATTAACCCTTCCGAGGATAATGTATTCAAGATCAAACAAGAGGTTAAAACCAAAAATAAACTAAGCTTCGTACACGCGTTCATCCAGAAGACTTACTCATATATTGCCTTCAATAATGATGCGAAAATGGGCCACAAGGAGAGCCAGCCCAACAGCATCCTCGCGAGGATATGCCTGGACACCGAGAACCCCCGAAAATCCACCGGGCCAGAGAGCAGGAAGCTCACTGAATCCTACATCCAGATGCCTTTACAGTGTGGATTTAACGGGAACTTTTACAACCGGGTGTTGTCCGTGTACCCCACGGAGATCCACGCAGGTGATGGGAAAAGCCCCGAGCCATACTTGTTTGGAGTGTTTTCTAAGGGAGACAGAAAGTCTGCACTTTGCGCTTTCAAGTTTGGAGACATCGAGGAGGAGATACGGCAAGGCCGCAGGAACTGCTCAAACTCTCCCAGCAGCGACGTTCAGGTGCTGGACAGCGTGATACAGGGCTCCGGTTCAGCCTGCATCCAGAAGGGAAACCTTGTGGTAAGGGCTTTGTACACATTTAGTTAGGCAATATAAAAATACTTAATTTATGTAATTATTTTGATCTGATTTTAAGCTGCCATGTTAATGAAATATATACGTTCTGTCAAATAAAACGCACTCTAAAACTTAGCATAAGCTTTGCTGAAAACGAAACTTATTTTACAGATCAGTTTATCCATTTCTTGACATGAAAGTGAGAAAAAAAACAAGTCAGCGTCACTGAGATATTTTCTGCATCATTATTTCATATGTTTTTATTTCTTTTCTCTTCGTTATACTGGGTGCCAAAACGTGCTCGTCCAATAAACCTGCTTGAGATTTATGAATCCTCTTGGCCATTACAGTTGTTCAGGCTGCAATAAGATTTACTCCCTCAATGTCTGCTGCTACTCTCTGACCGTTTCCATTTATGCTTACGAACAATTATCCTCTTTAACCCTCAAACTGTTGACTCAAAGAAAGGATCTCCCATGTTAGGAGTAGAGGTGATAGCTGGAAAGACCCTCTAGAGCCACACTGAGGGTTGTGGGAAGGGTGAGACTAATCTCATATCCAGCAACTCTCCCCTTTTACCAAATGTGAGGATTGTAAGGGGTCAGTAGTTTACTATGTTTTCCAGTAAAACCCCAGACATTTTTATTTAGTGTGTGCTTCTGACTGAAGTTCAACTCTAAATTTAGCCCAATGTTTGACCGATAAATAGCTCCTCTGTTCCAAGCACGTGATCAAATATTATCACGTGTATTTTATTACAATCTTCCTACTCATACCTGTGTCCTCAAGGAAACTTTAGCATTGCAAAAGCGCTGTCTGATTCACGGTGTCTAACAATAACAAGCAATGAAAGCTTTCCACAGTTTCATAGGAATGCAGAGAAATTCCAGATTTTCATTGTGGTGGTTTTGACTGACAGAGTTGAGGTCAAAGGAGACTGTCTCGCCACCACTGTGCTGTCAGGTCAGAAAGTTGCCCTCCTTGCTGGCACTGCCTTGTTTGCCGTGGCCCCGGGGCCACTCCTCTCGTGACCAGTTTTTCTGAATACCATCTCCGGTCGCCCACAAACCCTTTTTGAGATAGACAACTGCTTAGTTCAAAGTGATTTGTGCCCTTTGTTTTTTCTCCTGCTGCAGTACAACCCACTTACCACTCATAGACTAAAGTTAGTCTTTCCTCATTTACATAGCCGTGGCCGTTGAAATGTGATCTTTTTTGTAGTCGACAGTTTGAAGGCCAACACTGAGGGAAAGCCAGACACAATTTATGATAAGAGAGACGATGCCTCGAGCAGAAGGGCCCGTGGGAAAAGACTCTACAAATATCCAGTGTGCTTAATTTCTTTTTTTTTTTCTTGTGTGCTCTAAAATATTCAGAGAATTCCCAATAGATCCTGGTGCTCATCCAAGCGCAGCACTAATGTTTTATCATTGCCCACTGAGGATTTGACAAAAGCAAAGTCTTATGAGTGTTGAAGACCCTTATAAGCCCATTTCAAGTATTCACTGAGATGTCTGAAAAGTGATTTAGCAGAATGAGCAACGCCAGTGTGATAGCTTCTATCAGCCCTTGCTTTCCACACGCCTCCTTTTGTGCCCAGCTCTCTCCTTCTTCTAATCTTCATGTCATGCTTCCATATGAAAGCTGATGAGAATTGATCTTTCTCTCTCACTCTGTTTGTATTCTAGTTGCAGCCCGAGCAGCTGGACTGCGGTGCAGCCCACCTGCAGCACCCACTGGCATTACAAAGACCCCTTAGGGCCATTCCTCTGCTTGAAT